TTGGCAAATGGCAGAGGGCTTGCTTTTGTTACTGCCTCTGCCTGGCAAGCGCAAAGACCAGCAACCGCGTTTTAACAAAATGGGACGGTGAGCCAAAGGGTGAGGAACTCCAAACAGGGTCACCTTGCTCCACCTTGCGCTAAACGTTAAAGAGACACATTGGGATTCATAGGAACAGAGGAATGTGAGAGTAGGAGGTGGGGCGTGGTCTCCAAAAGTAACCCAGCACAGCTCAGACTCAGGCGGGGGTCTCCTGAACAGGTGTGGGCCCAGCTCTCTGTGCCCCTGCTGAAGTTCAGAGTCCCCAGCTGCAAATGGTGCCCAGATTCGCTGGGAGGGTCATATAAGATGTTGCAGGAAGAGTACTCAGCACACCGACCAGCACAAACTTAGGGCTCACTGGGCAGATATTTAGGGACACATTCCACTGAAAAGAGACAGACCTGAGATTGTACCTATATAACTTAAAACTCTCCAGTTCCCCAGTTGGTGACTAAGAGGGCTCCAAGGACATGAGACTGAGGAAAATGGCATGAGAATGCCCGACCCGAGAGGTCAAGCCACTGAGCAGGTCGTGGCCTGTACTCAAATGCTATGACCAGCCCACAGAGCACGTTTAGGCAAAGTTAAAAAGAACTAGAAAAAAGACCCCTCCTCGAGACACTGACTGCCATGTCCTGGAACATCGTCCCACGCACACAATACACAGACTAGAAGAGCTACCGTGGGAATGGCACCTCCCACAAGATCCAGGACTCGCACACCTGTCCATCCTACATAAACGCACGTGGCGGCCCCATGGCCCACTGGGAAAGAGGTATCTGAAGAAGCCCTCTTTCGCAGGAATCAGCCGCCAGGATGCTGCCTCTCTGGGCCCTGGCTGTCGTGCTGGCCGTCCAGGCAGAAGCACAACTAGACCTGCAAACCCCAGTGCTGGGAAACCTTCCTGTCCCATTACCCTCTGGGCCTGTCGCCAATACCCTCCCACTGGTTGTGCCACGTCAACCACTCCGCAGAAGTCAGACACTCCCCAGAAATACCCCAGTGGTGACCACAGGACGCAAGTGCTCACCCGTGGCCAAGTACTTCATCTCTGACGACAAACTCCAAGACTGTAAGTAAGAACCCTTTCACCCACACTCCTTTGCTCCTTCCCGCCCCTCACACAGGCTTCTCATTTCCAAGCCCGGAGGGCTGGTTCTGCTTTCTGAGCGAGGGGTCTCAGGCATGAGGAGGTGCTGGGATCTGCTCAGGAGCTTCCAAGCAGAGCGGACTGGGGACTGCACTGCGCGCACCACTGCGGTGGGCCGAGGGCCTGGCTTCCCCGTCAGCTCCGGGACGCCCCAGAGGCTGCTCCTCCACGTGCACACGTAGGCTAGGACCGGCCCACGCAGCCCTGGAAAAGGGAACTCTTGGGCCAGCAAACTGTCTGACATCTGCCTTGCAGGTGCCTCTTCTCACCTGGAGGCTGTGCCCAGACACCTCCCAGCTCCCCACAGGTGGGCTCCAGGGCTCACCCAGACGCCCACAGGTGCTTAAAACCTCAACCCGCTGTACCAGCAGCCAGGAAATGGAAAACCCGGGCTCCACCACCAAACCCCTAGGCCAGACTCACTCTCTCCAGAATCCCTTTCACTCCCTCCCTGCATCTCCCTTCCTCCGCGAGGCAATGAGGAATCCAACCCTCTGAAAACCCCGCAGAGGCTGAGAGCAGAGCAGCTCGGGAAGCCGAGGCTGGGCGAAGAAGTGCCTCCCACTTGAGGGACAGGAAAGGAGGGGACCCACTGGCAAACGAAGCCGGCAGGAAAGCCCTCGGGGCCCCCTTAGCAGCCCCCGCGGCCAGGGCCTGAGTCAGCCTTCCAGGATGAGGGTACAGGGCCACCCGGGGGGACTCGGCACCTGCTGAGCGACCACAGGGCTGGCCCCACAGCCCCATGTAGACAGCTTTGCCTGTGAAGGAACACGTTCTCTGCTCTTCCCAGCATCCTTCCTCATTACCAAATACTTCCAGTATATAGGAAAGTTCAGACACGGTCAAAAGGACAGCTGTGTACCCGTCACATAGTAATTTGGTGGCAGCAGTAGTTAACTTTACCTTCAGACTCAAAAACATTAAAAGATAAATATAGCAAACACCTATGTACCCTCTACCTAGATTAAGGAATAAACTGAGCCCTGGGGCCCCTGCCAGGCTCCGTCGCCCGCCCTCCCTCCCCTCCAAAGCAGGCGTCTAGCACGACTATGTTTCCATAGCAATTTCTTTATATTTTATGACATGTCGAAATTCCCTCTCAATGAAAAAGACGGTACCCCATGCCATAAAGTTTCCAGAATAGGGCATGTACTCACTCTGACCTCCAGTCTTACAGTCAAGAGGGGGGACCGTCCACAGCGAACATCTTGCCCATTCCTTGCAGCGCTGGATTCTAACAGGTGACTCCTCCTTCATTTGTGAGTCTATCGCATCTGATGTTTCCAGTTTTGCGCTACTCCAAGAAATGCTGCTCAGAACTCTTGTGTGGGTCTCCTAGTGCACAAGTGCAAGAGACCCCCCCACCGGGCGCAAACCTGGGAATGGGCTGTGTCCACATCACCCCACACAGGCAAAGACTTTCCACAATGCGGGGGCCTGGGCCAGGGAAGCAGCAGGAAGTCTCCAAAAGCCAGGGCCACCAGCTTCACAGGGGCTGGAATTATGGGACTTCGTCCAACCGCCACTCTGCTAGGCCAGAATTGTCCCTAGGTCCCATTAACTTCATCCCTGTGTTGAGCAAGGGTGACCAGATTTAATAGCTCCCGCCATATTCCCGCTCAGGCCATCGAGAGCAGCATGATAGGACAGGACCCTGGTGAGGTGACCACTCACCAAGCCACTGTCGACCCTCCTTCCCTTCCCCACAGCCTACGGGATGCCACCTCCTGTGCCCTGCATCCCCAAGGGGCAGGGACACCGTGCTTAGCACCTCATCCCCCCGCGGAGACCAGTGCAGCAGAGCAGAACTGACACGCGTTCTCCTAGCAGAGGCAGCGTGGCAAGGTGGCAGCGCCTCCCAGTGACCCATAAGGGGAAGATGAGGCCTGGGCAGGGGCGGGGACTTGGGCAGAACCACAGGGATGGCGACAGGAGAGCCCAGATCGCTCAGCTCCAACACCACTTCCCCAGCCACCTCCGGCCTCACTCGGCACATGCGTGCGCCATCATCTCATGCTCCTCCACCCACCCGCCCCCAGCAGGTCCTACCTTTCGCCCTTCACAGGTGCAGACACTGGGACCCAGGACCTCAAAGACTCAGACCCAGGCCACTCAGCCTCCCAGGGACAGAGCCCAGACTCTACTGGCCTCAGAGTAGCTGCTAGCACATAGCGCCTCTTTACTGGGGAAGGGTGTGTTTATGTGCGGCCAGGCTGCCCTTGGGGCGGGTGGTGGCAGGGACTGACATTTCTGGGAGGCACCATGTACAGTTCCGATGGGCCGCTCAAGTCATAGGTGCTGCCTACCCACGTGGGGAGCTTCCTCTGGCTGAACCAGCTGGGCAGCCCACATCGGGAATGTGTCTCTCGACCCTTTTCAGATTTGGGCGCCACCCTGCCCCCACAGATTGAGAAGATGCTGAAGAGTGAGAAGGTTAACTTGGCCGGTTTGCTTGGGACATTGTTATCCACAGTGGGCGACTCTGGCCTCCTGTCCCTTTTAAACATCACGTCATCCCTAGATATACTTGGAGGTGGTGACCTTCGTGGCATCCTAGGCCAGGGAAGCAGCGGCAAGTCCTCGCAGCTCCCACTGCTGTCAGAAGCCACTGGTGCTGTCAGTAATCTGCTGGGCCAAGAGGGTCTGGGCAGCCTATTACCCACCGGCGCAGACAAGAACCCCGTAAAAGGACTCCTCGACGGCGCTGGTCTCTCTGGCCTCCAGCAGCCCCTCAATGATGTGGCCGACAAGGTAGGCCAGCTCAAAGATTCCACCCAGGACGTGCTCAACGGCGCCCTGCAGTCAGGCATCAGTGAGACGCTCACAGGCCTGCTGGGAAATACTAACGTGGAAGATCTCTTGCTGGGGTAAGTGCTTCCTTGACCCCAAGGCTCCTGGCACCAGAAGCCAGCTCATTTGGCACTCAAGCTCAGCCTCCAACATCCCAAGGAAAGGGACAACCATGTTTTCACCGAGCAACATATTTGCTCCGTGCTGCAAACGGTGCCTTTTCCAGGGAAACAGGACCCAGGTTTCCTCAGTGCAGAGAACTGGGCTGCTGAGGGGGCTGCGGGGTCAAGGGACTGGATATGGATTGGTAGGTTGTTAACTGTCTGCTTCTGAGGTATTCTCCTGCTGCTCGGGCTGGTTCCTTGAGCCAGGACTCACTGTAGATGCTGTCACTTTGCAGATTAGAGGTTCAAAAGGTGACTGTGGAGAACATGAAGTCGACCATGGCAGGCGATGGGATCCACGTGCACGTCACGACTACCGCCTTCGTGGGTGGAAAAGGGTGAGCCTGTTCCCACAGCAGTCCGCTGGGTCACCCGGCCCAGAGGTGTAAGTGCCAGTGTCCAAGGGCAGGGCGGAGACCATGGTGAGGACAGCAGCAAGGGTGAGGATGGGGCAAACTGGGCACTGGACACAGCTACCCTTCCCCCAGCCAAAGGGCGGGCAGGAGAATGGCCCGGGGAGCCCCGTCCTCCAGTAGTACAAGCAAAGATTTCCATGGGACATCTGCACAAGTTTATGCTTGGGCAATAGAGAGACCATCCAAGGGGGACACATCAAATGGTGATACCTTACACTGTTCCTAAAGCCAAGGGACTTCCCAAATAATGTTGACTCTCCATAGAGAATCAGCCCACTTAGTACAAACACGGTCCTATCAGATGGGGGAAACAGAGCTAATTAAAACGCCCTCAGGAAGCTATGGTGTATTGTAAATGCAAGCATGCATCCACCTGATGTGTAGGTAACAAACACCCCTCTGAAACTGATGCTTGCTGGGTACGAAAACGGGCTGTCCTCAGTCGGTATCAGCCTGTGGGGGAGGAACGTGTTAACAGTATAGGCTCAGGGCACCCAGGAAGACATCAGAGGCACAGGGCATCCCCACCAGGGAGCTGATGGCTTTGCGGACTAAGACACACAGCACTGGCACCTCTCACTGTCCTAGCAACTACTTGTCTACGAACTCCTTGGAGCCTCTCTATAACCTTACCAGAAGGGCAGTCCTATTTCCAGACTAGAACACCAGTTTAGACTGGCAAAAGTGGTTGCAAACCTTGCTCGAAGTCGCACAGCTAAAATATGGCACTGACAGGGTTTTAACCCAGGCAGTCTGGCTCCAGGGACAGTGTCTGTGACCACTACAGTTAGCAGGACCAAGAAGAGCCATTCTTCTGGTCCAGAACATCTCATGTTAGGTCAGCGGTGGGTTTTTCTTACGCTGTTGCCCTCACAATAGAAAGTCAGGGTGCTGGGCACAAAAGTGAACCCATAATGGACACCTTCTTCCATACAAGTTGGCCTTGTGCCAACAATGCCACACGACCTCCTAAAAGCTAGTTAGGAACATGATTTTGTCTTTTTTTTTTTTTTTTGAGACAGGGTCTTGCTCTGAGTCCAGGGCTAGAGTGCAGTGGCATCATCATAGCTCACTGCAACTTTAAATTCCTGGACTCAAGTGATCCTCCTGCCTCAGCCTCCCAAGTGGCTGGGTCTACAAGTGTGCACCAACAACAGCCGGCTAAGTTTTCTATTTTTAGTGGAGATGGAATCTGGGTCTTGCTCTTGCTCAGGTTGGTCTCGAACTCCTGGCCTCTAGAGATCCTCCTGCCTCAGCCTCCCAAAGTGCCAGGATCACAGACATAAGCCACCATGCCTTCCCAATTTTGTCAAATGGTCCTTGACTCCTCTGTACCCTGTGTGTAGGGTTCAGCCAGCCTTGGGGCACATTGCCTGGAAAGCACCAAACATTTCCCCTCCTCCATGAGACTTGACAAATACATGAGGGTAATTCCAAAACCGCATATCACTTGGCCTGAGCAACACCTGGCAGCCAGGCCTGGCTTTACGCACATCTTGCTCTCCACAGCCTAGCTGGACCCGCAGTCAGCCTACTGGGATTTCAAGTGCACGGGGATGTGGCTCTGAAAATTGGCATTTCCACAAACAATACCCACTGCGTCAAACTCCAGGTCCTGGAAGAAGCCATCGAGGCCAACAAAGTGACCCTTCAGATAACGAAGACGTACGTGACACCATTTTTTTCATTTTCTAGATCAATTGGCCTCAGTGCCAGCATGTTCCCTCTGGTACTACCCTTAGGCACGAGCTTCTCCAATGCAATGGTTTGAAGGATCAGTAAATGGAGGCCCATACAGGGGTCTCTGCTGAGGAACAGCCCACTGTGTTGGAGACTAGCCTTTTCTTACAATCCTTGCATACTGTCTGCCAACTGCACTTTTAGTAATTCATTCCACTTTTTGCATGAGCATTACACTTACCTGGATTAATATACAAAAGACACAAATGGGCAGACAGTGCAGTCTCTCTCCAAGCCGGGAACACTAGCTGGCTAATTACCCTCTCTAGAAGCAACCAACAAATCCAGTCTCTTGTGTTTGCTCTCAGAGGTGCTATTTGCCACATGCCAGTAAATTTGCATGCATATGGAAACACCCAGAAAGGGGCAAATGTTACATTCACCTTTCTGGACTTTTGTGTTTCATATAAAAAATTGCTGGGAACCTGTATCACCTGTGTATAAACAGCTGCTTTATTTTTTATGTCTCCCTTGTATTCCCTGATGACGATACACTATATTTAACCACTCCCTTATCAAAGAATATTTGGTTACTTTCAGTTATTATTAACTTTTGAACCCAATTGTGAAAATAAGGTCACAGAGAAGTCTGTCCACCAGTGGCCACAGGTATCTGAAGGATAAGATCCTCTAGGTGGGCTTGCTGGGCAGACGTCACATGCTATAGCCGTGTTGCCAGGAATCCTCGAGTCTTCCCTAAGGACTGGGGATGACGGTGAAAGGGCTGGGGCGTGAGCACAGATTGAGCACAGGAACATAACCACTGCTGTTTCACTGATGGGGGGTTTCCTCCAGCGTCTGGGCAAACCTGCAAACATAGGAATCACAAGCTTCTCCACCGGCTTCTTTCCCAGGCTCACAGATGCTTTGCCTCTGCCCGTCCCTGTGCCGCTGGATGACATCATTCCTCAACTGTTGACAGTAACTATGAATGAAAACGTAAGTCCTGGGGAAGGGGAGGGCATCCCTCAGAGGGGAAGACAGGGAGGAGCCCTTCCCCCAGATATAGTCTGATGCCAGGGAAGACTTTGGGACATCAGGCCTTCAGGAGGCCCGAGACTGGGGGACCAGCAGACCCCCCCGCCCAAGAGAGTCCAGCAGCAGCACCAATGATGCCTCAGGCTGGGGAGAGGAACAAATGACTTCTGCCAAAAAGGAGGCCCTCTCCCCCAAAAAAGGACAGGGAAAAGGGAAGGAGGAGAGGGGAGAAAGAGAAGAGGAGACAGGCTGATGGTCTGTCCTCAGCAATGCTAATTGGTAGTGACTTCGCAGACTGAAGAAGCAGACTCCTCTGACATCGTTCTCAGTGATGGCAGCGACTGCAAGAATTGTGAGTACCAACGCTTCCCCTCCGTGGGGCTGCCTGGGCCAATGGGGAGAGATGGCCGAGACTCCTGAGGGGTCCCACTGGGATGGACAGAGGGTGGGGCTGAGATGCACCACCATGCAGCTCTCAGCACCCAACAGCCTCTCCTCAGCACCTTCTTGGCAGAAAATGCCCCAACTGACCCGACTCTCAGTACCACTTTGACTTAGTGCCCAGGAAGGAAACAGGACAAGGCCCCTTGGGAATCTGCCCTTAGGAGCTCCCCAGACCCAGATGACTTGCCAAGGGCACACACACGTGGAGTCTGAGCCGGCAGCAGCCGAGGGCCTTCACCCTAGGAGGCTGAGAACCAGAAATCCCTCAATGTCCCTGGATACATGCAGAGAGACAGGGATACTGGAGGTGGTGGGTCAGCAGCCACCAGAGAGCTGAAGCAGGAAATCGGTGACATTTGACAAGTTCAGAGTAGATGATACATGGGGCACACCCAGCCAGCCTCTTCCTCCCCTGGAGATTTTGGCACATCACAGAAGGTGCCGAGTCCCGATGCCGGCTTCCTCCTCGCAGCCTGCTTCCACATGCGTGAGGAGGAGTCAGGTAGGGCACTGGCTTTCTGCTTGGGACCGAGGCAGAAGGAGGAGTCCACTCTGGTCTCCACGGGGAGGACAGCGCCCAGCACACAGCACAGCACACAGCCACCATCAGTGGTTTGCTGTGGTCTCTCCATTGTCTCTCTCTCCTCTCCCTGCAGCTACCGGCTTATTCACGTACACCATTATAAGTTCCAGAATATCTGCAGAAGGTCTTTCCACTCTCTACTGCGTAAGTACCCTTTGTCCTTACTGTGGCTTCTGCAGGAAGGCTGGAGAAATCCCTGACCTCACGATATATATTTGAATGACATGACAAACCAGACTTTATGGCTCTGGGATCCCCAGACTTCACCCTGGGGTGAATCCCCCAGGCTTAGTGCCTATCCAGGGGTCCGCTGTGAGCTCCCTTCCATTGAAGTCCAATGGATGACGCCCTGAGGGGCATCCAACAGTGACAACCATTTCCTGACCCTTAGGATCAGCCCAGCACAGGTCTAGATGCTCAGTGGACAATACACGAGGAAACAAAACCTGCCCGCTATCCCCGCCCACCCCTCTCAACCATGGGGGAAGGCAAAACTAGGCCACAAAAAGTGCCAAGACTGGCCGGGCGCGGTGGCTCACGCCTGTAATCTTAGCTCTCTGGGAGGCCGAGGCGGGCGGATTATTTGAGCTCAGGAGTTCGAAACCAGCCTGAGCAAGAGCGAGACCCCGTCTCTACTAAAATTAGAAAGAAATTAATTGGACAACTAAAAATATATAGAAAAAATTAGCCGGGCATGGTGGTGCATGCCTGTAGTCCCAGCTAGTTGGGAGGCTGAGGCAGGAGGATCGCTTGAGCCCAGGAGTTTGAGGTTGCTGTGAGCTAGGATGACGCCACGGCACTCTAGCCCGGGCAACACAGTGAGACTCTGTCTCAAAAAAAAAAAAAAAAAAAGTGCCAACACAGGCAGGCAGGGTTTTAGACTGAGCTCCACTTCTGGGAATTCATCCAAAACACACAACCTAAGTACAGAGATATTTAGGCACAAAGAAATACAGGTATTAATGATGGGAATAGAAAAAAAAATGATATGAACAAAAAGGAAATAATTAAGCCAAGTATGAGGCCATCCGAAATGCTGACAATGTTTGTAATGGTCTATGGAAATGCTCAGGAAACTATTATTAATTTTTAAACAGCAAAGTTAAATGCAAATGAGGTATGCAAACAAAGACATGTAAAAACTTCAGTGCCAGGAAGTGAAAGTCTTTTCCCTCGCTCTTCATACTTCCCCTAACTTTCCGACTTTCCTGCCATGTGGACTTTACATTTCATAAGAAGAGGGAAGATGCAAATGAAAGGGAAAAAAATAATTAATGGAGGCTAGAATATCTGTAAATGATTTCAAGAAAAGATGGGCTTTGGAGTGTGGGAAGGAAGGAAGGCGGGCGCTGCAGGCTGAGAAACACGCAGGGAAAGGAAAGGAATGGGACAGCTGTGCAGACATTTCGCACGCACGCTCGCACGCACGCCTTACTGCAAGCAACACGTACATGGGGGATTCGCCTGGAGGCGGAGGCCTGCGCGTCCTGAGCTGCGCTGCGGCTGCACAGTGACTCCTCCTCCCCCCCCACCCCCCCCACCCCCGCTCCTGCTCTCCAGGCACCACACACCCCAGCACTCCCCACGGTCCCCCACCACGGAGACCAGGGAGATCAACTGCCATGTGTCCTGATGCTCCTCTCATGGCAGCGCCCACTCAGGGCCACCTTCCTGGTCAGGCCTCCAAAGGCATAAAAATTGGTATTGG